TACAATCAGATACAAAATCCTCTCTGTGTTTGTGAATGACCTTAGTATTTTGCTGATGAACTCTTAGCATTTTGCTATTTTAACTGTGTCTATCCTCCATGTACAATAGGAAATATTTTAAGAGCAGATGATATATGACATTATTTTATAAATATCCACTTTATTAAACCTATATGTGTGTGTGTATGGACACTTTTAAACATCTATCTCAGGAGATAACAACGGAATTTGCAGCAATCATTCCTGATTCCTTCTGGGCTGTGGAATTTCAGGGTCTGACTTGTTACAGGAGGGAATCTAGATAAATGGAGCAAGTATGAGGTGTTGTTTCAAATGCTGGTATAAATAAAAAGGGGGGGAGAAAAAGGCAGTAGCAATTCAGCGCATCACAATAGCAAGTTAAATATAGTCAAGGATTACAGAGCCATTGTTTTCACTCCTGCTAAATAAGACAGCACTCTTAAAATGGAACACCACTTGACCTTTCAAGTCTCGTCGGTTCGTGGTTGTATTTAACTCACGCAGGGGTGCAACGTTGTCCCCTTGGAGGTGTTCCTCGTTGATATGAGGATCGCCCTTGCTGGGCCGCGCGATGCACAGGAGACACAAACCCGGTGCCTTGGAGCACCGGAGGGATGTTGCGGCGCAGGGAGGATCTCCGTCTGCAGCTCACCATGAGGTGCGCTCCTTCTTCAACTTCTCACAGCTCGTCCTTTCCGCTGGCCACCTCAGGTCACCACCAGCCCTCAAACATTCGAAAGTTACTTACTTTGAAGTAGAAATCCTTGATGTGCAAAGCAAGAAGCAGATCTGCATTGTGGACAAGGTGAGTGTGCGTTGTTTCCACGCTGCTGGGGATGTGCCCAATTAACAAGTTGCAATGCTCTGTTTTCTCTTTGCTGTGATCTTGTACCATCGTGGAAATCCTTTCAGGCTTCCCGCTGGGAGATACTCAGAACTTCTCATGGTGTTTGCTTGGCTGCTTTTCCAGGGTTTCTACAGAATAAAACTCACACTGACTTCAGTTAGACCTCATGGCTGCACTGTGGGCTCAAAATACATCCTTTGCCTGTCTCTTAAAGCTTATGAGATTGCAGTGTTTATTTCAGAGCATGAGACTTAAAAGATCTGCTTGAGAACAGGTATTTTTTAAATGTATTTGTAAAGCTTAGCGTCTCTGCAATGTTGTAAGTTCCTGTTAGAATCCAAACATATTCAGCTGAGCCTTACCTACAGGAAATGGGCAGGAGCATAGCAACCTTTTTCTCTTGGTAAACAATGGGGCTTGGCTAAGAGCACAGAGTTTTCTTCAAAGTCAAAAATCAAAAAACATAAACAAGGATGAGAAACCTGGCTAGCAAGGTTTTACACCATAGTTTTACAACAGTTGAAAAAATGTTTCATAAATATTTTCATCACAGTTTTTGTGATTCATTGTCCCTCCACAGAAGAGCTGGCCTCTTGCATGCCAGACCATGAAAGTGAGCATCCCATTTTTTGTTTAGACAACAGAAAAATTTTGTAGCATAGTCGAGTTTTGAGACTTACTCCTTTCATAGAATCATAGAATCACAGAATGCTTAAGGTTGGAAGGGATCTCTAGAGATCATCTAGTCCAACCCCCCTGCACACGCGGGGTCACCTAGAGCACATGGCACAGGACTGCGTCCAAGCGGGTTTGGAAGATCTCCAGAGAAGGAGACTCCACAACCTCTCTGGGCAGCCTATTCCAGTGCTCTGTCACCCTCACTGTTAAAAATTTTTTTCCTTAAGTTCCTGTGGAACTTTTGATGCTTCAGTTTCCGGCCATTTCCTCTAGTTCTGTGGGTGGCCACCAGGGAAAAGAGGCCAGCACCATCCTCCTCACTGCCTCCCTTGAGGTACTTCTAGACACTGCTCAGGTCCCCTCTCAGCCTTCTCTTCTCCAGGCTGAACAGGCCCAGCTCCCTCAGCCTCTCCTCACAGGGCAGATGTTCCAGGCCCCTGATCATCCTTGTAGCCCTGCGCTGGACTCTCTCCAGCAGCTCCACATCCCTCTTGTATGGGTATGAAATTCATGTCTGTACAGGGGAGAGCGCGTGTAATTAGTGTTGATGAAAAGTTTTGTTTGAAGGAGAGAACATGCAAAATTCATCAAGTCTTAAAAAGTCTGAGAAGTGATTCCTTTCTGTGCTTTTTAAGAAATAATCCGCATTTGTCATCATCAGTGAGTAGTTATGAAAGATACATAGCTACTCAAAAAAATGTTTTACTTGGACATTTTTTCCAAAAGCCCAATGTAGGTTAATTTTAAAGTTATCGATATGTAGTGATTTGATTTCTAAATGCTGTTAAGGCCACTCACAACTGTTTCTGTTTCTGTTAAAACATTCATTGTGTAGCATTTTTTTCTTCAGATTACCTTGCAGCAAAATGTATTTTCCCACAAATGTAAAGCTGTGTGATTAATTTTGCATGAGCTTCTTTTAAGGCAGAAAGTGTTGCACGGTGCATTTTAAGAGAATAAATCACCTTTGAGGAAACCGTCAGGGTTTGTTCACTGTACAAACGCAGAGTTTGTTCACGACACAGTGGAAGCCCTTTCAGAAACACTGCTTGAAGCCTTCAGGGTGAACCTGCTCCATGAGCTGTGTAGGACTGAGCCTTCCATTTTTGGTGCTCTGCAGTGGTTACGGAAGCCTCTTTCCTACTGTTCCTTATACAAGCTTCCCAAGCAGCCTGTGCTCTCTCACACTGTTTACTTGTTAACTTGATTACTTTATCCTTCTGAAGTGCAGAACTGGCACCTCTTGTTGTTCTACCACAAGTTGCTTCCCTCCCTACCACCTCTCTTCAGTTACCATCTCTGGGAATCTTCTGACCTCTTAAACTCTCCCAAAAACATTATGTAATTTTTTAGGTGCACTTTAGTTCATTATTCTGACCCCTGGGCACTAAGAAAACTGATGCTATATTAGAAGAACTGATTTATTTCTAGTTTTGTGTCTTAAATTCCTAAGCCAGATTCCAGTCTTCAGAAAAAACAAATACTGATTTTTACATGATATTGATGCCGGTAATATCTGTAGTTGTTAGACATATGCTGCATGTTTGTGGATGTGGACTGTGCCTACAGTGAATACAACCATGTGTGTTTTGTTTGTTGGTTGTTTTTCTTGAAGGATCTCTGGGTAGGGCCTGTCCTTTTTTTAATGCATTTTTGTCTCACCCAGCATAACACAGGTCCACGGCTTGACAGTATCTGTCCAGCTACTTATATATGCAGCTCTTCTTGATGTTAAATGTTACACGGTGTGTGCTCTTCTGCATCTTCAGCCACAAAGATAAGACAGGAATCATTCCGATTGCTCTGCAAGTGTTATGTGTCCCTGTCTGAGGAAGTTCACAAGCATTTTAAGTTATTCACTAATGCACTGAAAGCAATAATGTCCTCGTATCTGCATGCTGTGGCTTAAAAAATGCAGCGCAGTTACTCCAGATTTACACGTGTGTGACAAAAAAATCCAGATGCATGCAGAACTCATTGGCAGCATCAGAAATCTGCTGTCTTTCTCCTATGGAGCGCAGCCACTGAAAGTGAGCAACCAAAAAAGTGCCCATCACCAGCTCTCTTGTGCATCTCCTTCCTGCTCCAGTATTTTATGTCAATATAGCCGCTGTTTACGGTGAAAAGGGTCAAATGGACTTACTAATTTCTGCTTGCTCTTTGCTGTTACCGTTCTTTTTTCAGTATAGATTCACAGATGGAATACCTAGAGAAACAGTCTTTGATTTACGTAGAAGAGAGAGAGACCGCTCAGGGAAGAAGCTGATAACTTTAGGTAATTAGAATTCATAAAGGGATAATTTAAAGAATTTCAGAGGCCACTACAGAAGACTAATGGTTCAGTCAATGTTGATTTTCAAAGTTTGGAAGCACCTTTGAATGCCAGTCTTTACACATTCCTTGTTTTAGACAGAAGATTCTTAACCTGTGGTCTGTGAGAGGCTGAAATAAAATAGACATTCCCCTCAAAATGATGTCTCAGTTGAAAGCAGTGAAAACAATAGAATGAATTCCTGAGACATCAGGGATGCTCCAGCTCTTCATGAACATCTTCTGACCAACAGTATCCTTTGTGTAGATCTGTTTAAACCAGCCATGCTACAACAGGAATGAGTATTGCAAAAAATGTATATCTGTTGAGACAGATTCCCAGCTAGTCTGGAAATGTCCTATTTCCCAACAAACTTACAACATTTTATCCTGGCTACACAGTCTTATTGCATCAAATATAATTCATGGATAATCACAAATTATGAATGTACTGGAGCAGTATAATACTACAGGGAGCTATAGGTGCTTTATTAGTTTGATAATTAATCAGCAGAACCCAAAAAGGGAATTTAGTTGTATGATATCTCACGCATGCATTATAATACTCTAGGCTGCAATATATGCTCCAGGTTCTTTATGAAATCTTAGTCTGTGATTCTTCAAAAAATGCCAGAACTGTGCAGTAATGGATCAATGAATACATGACAGTATATAAAAATGCTGTAGTTATATTTATCTACAAGTGCAGAGTGTTTCCTTTTTAAAAACTCCTTAAAACATAAGATTTTCATTTTAAAACACACTGCTCTTGTGCTACAGCAGGAGAATGAATTGTGACAGTCAGAGAATCTGTAGCAGAGAAGCCACAAACTCCTCTTCATATGGACTTGGTCCTGCGAAAAGTATTTAGCTTTCTAGAGTTCCCGATGATATCTAATTATTCTCATCTATCACCTTAATGTCTTGTTCTTTTCTGCTTCCCAGCTTCTCAAGTCCCTTCAAGGACCTCAGGGGGCTGCTTGTCTCTCTATCTTTCTGCTCTCCAACTTAACTTTCGACCTTTTGGATGGGTTTAAATAAGCTTAAAAGAAGAAAAGAAGCCTCAGAGATGGCTTAGTTCTGCCTGTCTCAGGAAAGTGGGTAGCTGAGTGTTTTCAAGGCAGCGAGGACAGGCAGGACGCAGCCTTCACCCATGCATTTACCAATAGCCAGGTGTCAGCCCAGGTTGCCAATTTTGCCTGGGTCATCAGCAAGCATGGGCCAGCAAAACAGCTGGTCTCGTGCACAGTGAATCCTTTGCAGGAGCCACGGTTGGGGTATGGGGTGATGGCAGCTGCTACTCACAACAGTACTTGTTTTGCCACTGCTATGTTCTCCTGTAAATTTTCCTTTGAGTTGAGAGAGGAGCATTGCCTTACAAAAATAATTTTGTAATATTTCAATCTACTGTGACACAATAAATATTTCATTTCAAAAGCAACTGGTACTTACAATTTAATGGTGCATTTATTTGAGCGTTATTTCACATCAGGTTATTTCCCATCACTTGAAAGGGTGTTATATTCTTATCAATTATCACGATTCTTGTGTCACAGAATAATGCAAAAGTAATGAAAGTTCCATGGAGATGAGAAATAAAATAAATGAAAATATTATTGTTATATGAATTTTCAGCATTTTGCTCAAACAGGATTTCAAAATGAAGCCTTTTCCCTCCCTCCCTCCCTCCCTCCCTCCCTTCCTTCCTTCCTTCCTTCCTTCCTTCCTTCCTTCCTTCCTTCCTTCCTTCCTTCCTTCCTTCCTTTTCTTCCTTCTCAATACTAATTTTTGAAGAAGAATCCTATTTTCCAGGTAGGAACAAAAGTGTTTTGACAAAACCTTTCCAAGTGGTTCTGCTATTGACCTCTTAAGGTGACTACAGAAACCTTAGTCAATCTTCTTCAAATAAAGGTTAGAAGGCCAAGAGATGTGTCAATTCTAGTCCGATTTGCTCAGAAGTAAGTGAACGT